TTGTGAAGGTCTCGAAGTTTCTCGCAGACGGCCTGCGTCGGCTTCCAGACGCAAAGAGACGCCCATTTTGGACTGATGTTTTTCGCAGTAATCGGATTCATTTCGACTTTGCAAGCCGGAATACTGAAAGAGCTTTCGGGGCAAAACAAACCCGCAGAACTCGCCGTTTTCAAAGATCTTTTTTCGTTTTTCGGCCTTTCGCAACACCCTAGTGATCTCGGAAGGTCGAAAGGCCGTTTGGGAGGATATTTATCGCGGTTGGCCTCACAAAAACCCGCCTACTTCTGTTATTCCCTTCAATGAGGCCGAAATCCTTCCAAATTTGGTTTCCAAACACGGAGCCGCCCTTGGTTTGCCATTGTGGGCTTTGAGATCGATTTGTTAACGTTGTCTTGCTGAAACCCTGTGCCAGAGTGCTTGCTTCGAAATGTTAAGTAAAAAGTACAGGACTCCGTTCACTTCTCAAGGTGTCGTTGTCTTCCTTTTTGCAAGATGTGCTCTCATTTATATTTTTGAGACATCAGTTTGACTCATTGCCCCGCTTCTCTTCTCCAGCTTTTCAATCCGCTTCTACAGGGATTTCACCGCCCTAGAGAACCACATGGAGCTTCTGGAGTCAGAGTCCAGCAGGCTCTTGCCTTGCAGAGCGCTTTGCCCAGTTTCCCAGCCTCCAAGACATCCTAGGCCACGAAGCCGATTCAGTTCTTGGAGCCGTGGATGCAGTCAAACTGCGTCTCCACGGCGTCGAAGCCAAAGCGTCTAAATGGCCGGCCAAAGATCAACCTTGCCGTTGAACGAGCCGCCCGTATTCGGCTCGATGGCCAGGCTGCCGCTGGTGTTATTCATCGAGATGAACTGAAACAGGTTGTCGGCGTCCCAGCAGCAGCGACTTTTGTCGTGGCTGCGGCGTTGCAAATTACCATTCCGACTGTGCTGTTGGTAGGCTAATCTGCTCTTAGAGAGGACTCAGCACCTGCACTCCGCTGCTGCCCCCGGCAAGGCGGTGGCAAGGAAGGGCCCGAAATAAAAAAACAGCTTTCAGGCAACTTTGCAGCTTCTTTCAGCTTGATAGGATTGTTGCGGATATCGTTGAGTGACAGTCGGTTGCTTCAGACGCAAAACGAGCAAACTAGAAATTCAGACGCAACCTTTCAGAAACCACCTTGTATGCACAACCTTGGGTCTTTGCACATGTGATGGCGGCATGCATGTTCTTTGTTTTTGAAGCCACGGCCGTGGTTGTATTACGTTATTGTGTTTTTTGGGACTCAGCTTGTCACCGTTGCACATGTTGCTTTGGTCCAAGAAAGCGATGCAGTAGCAGCAGTTAGTCAGTCAATGCTAACTATTGTAAATCATTTCGCTGCATCTGACTGTACAAAGCTGCCGCTTAGAGTTCCGGGTGCAAGTGATAAGAGCAGGCAAGCTTGTGCATGGGTTCGACAGCAGGCATGCTAGTAAAGCAACGGCTTAAACAAGGGCGTATCGCATTCTGTTCTTTTCAGTGCTGGCATACGGAGCAAGCTGATTTCACTTGTGAGTATGGAACGATTACGTCCAAACTAAGATTTAGAGCCTCAGTTGATAAATGAAGAACTCGTGCCTTGTCCAGTTTGCCTATTGTTGGCCGACACAAAAACATGTGCAGAGTGCCGGGGTTGGAGCTTCATGCAAACATTCGCATCTGGTCGTGTTTGCCTTTCAGCACCATGGAGTTTTCATGGATTGCTGCCGCGATGGTTGTCCTGTTGCTGCTTTGCGGTGGCATCTACGGCAAAAAGTGGCTATGCAATATCTGGATTCGGCTCAGAATACACATCATCCGAACATCAGAGCCTCATGCTATCTGAGAGCTCAATGCCAAACAAACGGAACTCCTCTTCTCGTTGGAGTGTCGGGAGTGGAAGTCTTCGGGTGAGTTTGTTCAGCTTTCTAGTTGATGTGAGCCCGTCACACGAGTTGTTCAGGAATTTGAGTCAGTGGCTATCCAGACGAGACGAGGTTCTATCGCTCCGTGCGGCAGTGGCAGCAGAAGCAGGCAAGGCTGGACGCTATCAACAAAGAGTATGAAGCTTGGCAATCTCTGAACATCCAAGGTTCGGTTCAGGGCTGTTTATCCCCAAGACTCGATTTGTTTTTAACCGCTTGCGGTTTCATTTGGGTCGAGGCATTGGGATTTGTGACTCAGGGTTTGCAACGAGCAGGAACGGTTGCCTTCGACAACCCTCTTTTGGGCACGAGCTGCTTACGAACCAGCAATTCATGTCGATTCAGTGGGAAATGGCTAGGTTCATAGTCCAAAGTCGCATTCGGAGCTACGCGCGTCACTAGGAATGTATGCACAACCACTCTTGCAACAGTAAGAGGTGCCAACCTCGGGGCGAGTGAGGCACTGTCTCAGGTTCAATTCCCTCAGCTTGGATTCTAAGTCCAAAGCAGCATCTTATCTTCAGCTCGATGTCCCCTAAACCCCAAACCCTAATACCCTAAACCCTATAAACCCTAAACCCGAAACCCTAAACCCTGAGCCCTAAACCCTAAACCCTAATGTGCTGAACGTGGGGCATGGTTTCAGGGTTTCCCCTTTCCCTCGGCTTCTGTTGTACAGACTTGGTGATGTAGCTGATGGCAGAAGCACTCGAGCTACTGTTGTCGACCCTGGGACTCCCAACTTGCGCAGACTGCTCCGTCAAAAGGCCGTGAGCGTTCAGCACCCCAAACTTCACCAAAGCTCTGAAACTAAACCCTCCCATCAGAGGCCATCAGAGCCCCTAAGCCCTGAACCCTAAACCCCGAATCCTCAGCTCTGAGCCTAAACTCCCCAAGTCTCTGGACCCGTCCTTATCCTACAAGCCCTGAGCCCCGCCGGAGCCCTTCTGCGGGCTTCCAAGGAGAATCTGCGGTCTGTGAGGCAGGTCTTTGGTGCTTTCGGAAATCGAGAGTTCTCTAAATTAACTGGGTCCTTATTGTAAGAGTGCCGAGGCCTTCGGGATGTGAAGTCGGGTTGTAGCCAGTATCCCCCGGAAAGGAAGCCCAACTATACACTCAGCGAGTTCCCCATCACCAGAGCCCCAACCCAGATGCTGCTTCAAATTTGCTTTCAGGGCGCATTTCACTTTTTCGGGCTTCAAGTTCTTGATACAGGGTGCCTTGGACGCTTCGCTTCAGTTGAGGTGCTCTTCATTGGGTTGAATGTCCTTAGAAACCCCAGAGTGAGAACAAAGGCCCTAAGACTAAACAACGATTGTCAGTATCGTTGTTGTTATTCTTGTTATCACGATTGTTATTCTCATTGTTAGTATGATGCTTATTGTGACTAGTACCGTTTAGAATGTCTTGGTTTTTTCAATGTTTATTCTTCGAATTGTTTTGCAACCATTACGTTCGTGATCAGTATTATGATTGTAGTACTGTAGTTACATATGATTCTTCATGTTGTATTCTTACAGTCGCTGGTATTGTCATCGATGCATAACCATTACTATTATCATTGTTTTCATTGCGAGAATTATGACGATTGCCCTTCTTTCGGGTATATTGATGTTACTAACAGTAGTGTTGTTCCTGTTGTCATTTACTGTTTCTTGTTCATCTTATCGTACCTGTTCTTCTTCTCGGTGCCATAATAAGAGCTTCTTTGGTTTGGGGCGGTTCTAGAACCCGTTTAGAATCCGAAGAGAACCACTATAGACCCCTTTGTGGGCCATGCAACCCTCATGGAACCCCAAGCCCAAAGCCTCTTCGAGGAAGGACGCCGTTTACCACCATGGTTGGGCCCAGTCGCGAGGCGATTGGAAGGAGGCAAGAGCTTGGTTTCTCATAGGGTTTAGGTATCATATCTTTCTTTGCAAGCGGTTTACGGGGTATGGGTTCCAGAATGAGTTGTGTTCAGAAGGGTTCTAAACGGTTCTATAAGGGGTATTAATATGAAGGTTAAGCATGTTTGATTCCCGGGGGCTTAGAAGGGCTTAGGACTGGTCGTTGTAAGGATTTCATGTAACAGTTCTGCAGTTCGGGAAGGTTTCGCATTGGAGTGGGGCTTCCAGGGTTTGTTTCCACACGGATTATTTGGGTTTAAGGTTTAGCATTTAGTGTTTAGGGTTAAGGGTTTTGGGTTTAAGAGCTTAGGGGGACAGGCTTCAAATTAGGTCTTGGAGGGTATGGCTTGAAATGCACAAGGGCATCAGCTGCACGCTCTTTTCAGTGACTGAGGTTGTTTATCGCCAGGCTTAAGAAGCGGGCTTCTGGGGTTGGCTGGGTTTTTGATTTGTCGCGAATTCGACAGTCTCCGTAACCTGAAATCGTAAGCTGGTAGATTGCAGGTTCCGTCACATGCTACCTTCTTTCGGCATGCGGTGTTGGGGTGAGGGTATCCCCGGAAGAAGTAATGCCCGGAAGCGAAAGACACTGCTTAATGGGTGCAGCTATTGCAGGCCAGCCACGCCAGAATATACAGCAGCATCAAGAATGTCCGCTGAATATGCTCATGTGGAGTCGTAGATAGGTAGCATGACAGAAGCACCTGCAGTGTACTCCGTTTTGTGCCGGGTTTGTCTTTTATTGAAGTAGGTGGAACCTCATGTGATCCCTTCCCTGGATGCTCGTGCAATTTTTACCATCTGCTCAAATCCAGGCGGAAGACCACGAGGTGTGCTGTTTTGGGTGCTTTGGTGTCGGAGTTTAGGTTCAGGCCGGTATCTTCAGGGTTTAGGACTTGGAGGGGCTTTCGCGTTCCAAGCGCCTGGGCTAGTGTGTGGGGCCCTGAGCCGTTAGGGGTTCGGGAGCTGGGCCTGTTTCAGTGCTTGAGGGCTTCAAGCTTCGTCGGCCATGACTCTTCAGCTCCAAGTCTCTGGTCGCTCTTTGACTAAACCCTAAATACTGCACCTTAATTCCTCCAGCTTCGGCCATAAATCCCAAGGCCGTAAGCCGCTCCTGGCTCCGAGCCGCATCCTCTTGTCGAGCAAACTCCAGTTAGTGCAGGTGCCTGTGAGTTTCCGAGGGTATGTTTTGAGGGCGATGCGACCCTCTGCGATGTCTTTGCCATCTCGGCTGGCACAGTGCTCTCACAAAGCTCCCTGAGGTCTAGGAGCACCGGTGTGCTTAGACCTCCACAGGTCTGAATTCCTGGAGTTCTTCCCACAACGTTCAGTGGCACTACCCCAAACCCACTGAATCACGGGCCATCTTTTTGTAGTGTCTTGGGCTTTCTGTCAACATCCCTCCCGCCATGCCCTACGCCATCTTCACTGCCAAGTTTGGCATGTCAAAGGACGGGCAGCGGGCTTTGTATGGCCTAGGGTTTTGAGTTCTCTAAGGGGTCCGAAACCCTTGATCCTACATCCGAAACCCTGAATCTTATGTCCTTGTGGGATGTAGGTGTTTTGTCCAGGATTTTCCGATTTAGGGATCCTAAATCTTCAATCCACTACACCCTGAACTCGCAGCCCTGTCGCAAAAACCCCTGGCGCCCCAGGAGTATTCGGAAAGTTGGCTAGCTTACAGCCTCTCTCCGCCAAGTTGTGAGGCCGGAACGTGGCTTTGGGATGTTTGTTCTTCTTTTCCTAGGCCCTAAACCCTAAACCGGTCTAGGTTTAGGATTTAAGGGTTTAGGGAGTCTAGGGGGTCTCTTTGCTAGGGGTCTACTGTGCAAGCGTTTCTGTGCTGTCGAATGATTCTGATGAAGGTTCTTGGCGTTTTGGTTCCGTTGGTTTCTGGTTTCCGGTCTTTTTGGTGGTACTTCTTCGGCTTTATGGGTTTGTTTAGTGATCGTTTCGTTGAGTGTTTGGATTTTGCCGTTCTGTATCCCAAGGCTCCTGGTACCTGGGCCCTCAGACTTAGGCATGTCATTGGGACGCCCATGGTTTGAGGAGGACGGAGTATGCAGGCCGTTGAGAACTGGAGCCTTGGGGCTGAGGATCCCCTGAAGTTTTCGGGTTTAGGACTTAGGCTTTAGGGATTAGGGTTCAGGGATTTAGTTTTGGAGTTTAGGGTTTAGGCTTAGACCAGAACTCCGACATAGGTCCGCCTGGCTGGCGGGAACCAGGACGCCGCGGAAGTGCTGATGCTTGGACTTGGAGCTCTTGAGTAGTTTGGGGCACTCGAAGCATTTTTCTGTTCACGGGCTCCTGGCCGTGCTGTGATTTTTTTGGTTTCCTAAGAGGGTGTGAGTGTTGAGGTTTGGGTTGATGCTTGAGTATACCCTAAACCCTAAACCCTAAACCATGTCTGGGTGTGAGCTTTGAGATTGAGAAATCTGAGAGTCTTCGAGCGCAGACATACGACTGTTCCAGAAAGGGCTTGTTCAGTAGAGCTTTTAACCCCAACCCCCCTAACACAGGACCCTAAAGTTCAGTTCCTACTCCCTCAGCCCTAAAATCTACACCCTAAACGAATCATAGACCCCAAGGCCCCTACTCCCGAAAAGCCCAAGAAGCTGAACTCAGGAACGAGCTCGAGGCAGCAGGCTGGTTTCGAGCTGAAGATATGGAGTTATAGCAGGACTTAGGGTTTGGGGTTATAGGGTTATAGGGTTTGGGGGTTTAGGGTTTAGGGTTTTAGGGTTATAGGTTTTTTTTTTCTCGTTTTAGGGGAGTCTTAGGAAGCCCGGGCTTCGGAGTGGCAGGCCTTGTGGTAGTCAGGACTCCGGAGAATGCCCGAAACCCCGTCGCAAGAGTGACGCATCTAATATATGCACTATGTATAATATATGTATGTATGTATGTATGTATGTATGTATGTATGTATAGATAGATAGATCGATAGATAGATAGATAGATAGATAGAGTACATGGTATATAGTATATGGTATAGAGTATATAGTAGAAAGTTTATGTCTGTAATATCTGGTATGTACTATAAAAGTACTTAGTATATAGTATATACGCCTGTAAGCCGAAATTACATACAGATATGCGTGAAGTAATCTGTCGCCTCCGTCAGAGGCTACGTGGTGTTGAGCACCGCCTGCCACAGCAAAGAAGCCCACGACCCATCGAAGTCGATGCTGACGTACACTCTGAGGAAAGAGCGCTAGTGCTGAGTTTAGAGCCAAGGTCCGTCAGACTTTGGTATCTGGACTAGGTCACTCTCTGGTGGATGTCGGGTTGGGTTCTCGGAGTTCAGGGTGTAGCATCCATATGCCGGAGAGAAGAAGCCTGATTCAGGATGCGACTATCGGGGTTCACGGCTTAAGCCAGTGCAGTCACCTGCTTTCTTCTGCCCTGTATCTCAGTCCGAGAACCCACCTGCTCCGGGTTTCTGGAGGAAACGGGTGCCAAAGCTGTTGCACAAAGGCCAAAGAGCTTGAATTCTGGTCCGAAGGTGATACCCAGTGGAAGATTCGAAGTGCAGGGCTTTATGGTTCATGAGTTCAGGGATGTAGTTTTCTGGTGTAGAGTCTAGGCATTCTGGGCTCTCTGCCGGCTGGGCCAAGCCAACTAGACCTCACATCCTAAGCCGTAAACCGAACACTCAAATCTCAAGCCTGCCCCAAACTCTGAAGCCGAAACCCTCAGACCCCATATCCTCAACTCAAACCGTTGACGCCAAATGCCCGATGGCCTTACTGGAAAATCTTGAGTACTGGAGCCCCTCTGCCCAACTCACAGATGCCCCACGCTCGTCAAGGCTACCCATAGGCCCCTAAGTAGTTCCTTTTTATGGTTTATATTTAGAATCCGAGAAGGTAATCCCAAAAAGGAACTACTTGGGGGGCCTATGGGTACCCTCACTATGACCCACTTTGAGTTGCTAGGAGCAAGCGGCTCCTCAAGCTGAGCGCTCACGTCTAAGCCGGAAGCCTAGAATCCCCGACTCTGAAGTCCGAAGCCTTAAACTCCCCATGTTTATATCCGTAAAGTCCGAACGCCTTAAAGCCTTGAAGCCCTGAAGCCCCCCGCACCCCTAACGCCCGAAGCCCTGGAACCCTAAAGGCCAAACCTTGAGGTTCAGGGCGGAAGCTTCAACCTTCGAGCTTATAATGAATGATACAACATATTTGTAGTTATACTTTCCTATACTCTACTCTACTATACTCTACTCTACTATACTCTGCTCTACTATACTATGCTATACTATGCTATTCTATACTCTACTCTACTCTACTCTACTCTACTATGCTATTCTGTGCTGTACTATACTATACTATACTATACTATACTATACTAGACTATATTACAATATAATATAACATAATATAATACAATATAATATAATATAATATAATATAATATAATATAATATAATATAATATAATATAGCACAATATACATATTACAATCATATATATATATATATATGTTTATATTTATGTTTATAAGTATAGTTATATTTATGATTATAATTATAAGTATAGTCATAATTATACTGTGCTATAGTATAGTATCATATGACATTATGACTTGAAAGTTTGCAGGCGCATGTGGTGGAGATCGACAAGCCCCTCGGATCTACAGTTCAGAAAATCAGTCATCCGATAACTCGGCATGACTTTCGCATGAAATGTTGTGCGGATGTGTAGCTTTTCTTGGCACGAGTGAATGGCCTTTGGGCGCCCTTTGCAGATTAGTCTCGTAGGGGGCTCTCTCGCATCAATCGCTTTCCGTGCCCTTGAGGAAGCAGTCGGAGGCACAGGCGAGATAGGACAGTACGTCCAGCAGAGCTGCCCCGTGTGCATTCCGGACGAGGACTCGTTGCACTGGCCGAGCTTCGCTTGGGGTCTACTTATAGGGTTCCTAGCAGGGCCGATAATCGACTTCTTGTTTTACCTTAGGGTTGCGTGGGGTCGTTTCGTGCGTGCCCGCCTCTTTCCGGTCCACTCGCCGGCACCGTTGTTCAGGATCCTTTCATGAGCCGAGCCAGCTTCGAGGAACAGCTTCGTTCTTTGTCCCTTGCTGTCTCCGATCTCTCCCTCGAGGTCAATCGCCAGGGCCGTTTGCTTAATCGTGTTCTGGACTTGCTTGAAGGCCAGGGTTTGGACTTTGACCTGGTAGAAGTCCCTTCCGCTACGCCTTCTTCTTCAGCTTCCCACGCTGCTGCTGCACCTGAACCCTCTCCCCCTTCGGGTACCCTAGGGTTTAGTCCTCAGAACCCTCGTGGCGAGGTAGGGTTTAGGCCCCAGCCCCGCACTGGACTTACACCTCCAGCCCCTAGCGCTCTCGCCACCGCACCTGCTGCAGACACTTCTTCCGTGCTGTCCCGGCCCTCAGCTGCTGTGTCCATCACCGAAAGCCAACGCCGGGCCGTTGCGATTGAGATTGGAGAGTTTTTCTCCCGTGCGTTAGCTGGGCTGCATCGAGGCCAGAGTGGCCGAAGTCGCAACCCTCTTGCCTCCAAGGTCTACGTGGTTTGTCGGGGTGTCGAGGGGCGAGTGTTCAGCCCGCCTTTGCTGTTCCACTCTCTGAAGGCAGTTCGTACTGTGTGTGAGCGGGAGGGCCAACTTGGTGAGTCAGTTTTCTGTGGCTTCCCTGCTCTTTGGGAAGCAAGACTGGCTTGTGAGACCGCAGAGCTCCCTTGGCCGGAGGAGAGGCACGATGTCAGCCGAAGGTGATCGTTCGGACAGTGAGGCCAGCCATGTCAGCAGGCCTTTTGCACTTAACCTTGTCTACCATGGCGGCAGCACGAATTTTGAGTACGAGGTCGGCACCCTTTCGGTTGGAGAGGAGCCGAATCGCAAGACAGTAGCTGCCATCTTTGTTTCTGAGTGTGAAGGCAAGGTCGTGACGGCTTTGCCGCATAAAGCCTGGGATCGCAAGACTTCAAAGAGATCCATCAATACCCCTTTTTCGAAGGCTGCGTTGTGCGAGGTGCTTGCTGCTTCCTCTCAGGACAGAGCACAACCTGCCGAGTTTTCACTTAAGATTTGGGTGGGCCTTTTGAGCTCTGACGTTGCTGCTTCTGCCTCCTTTGAAGGGCCTGGCAATGGCAGCGATGTCCGTTTCCTGACGCCGGAGGCCGGCCCATGTCTTCCTTTTGCTGACGCCTTGGTTCAGGTGTCTGACGCGCAATTTGGCTTCGCGACGGCCCACCCCCCAGCAGATCCCTATGAGGCCCGTTTTGCTGCGATTGAGGCCTCGATCTCGAAGCTGACCGCCACCTTTACCCGCGCTTTAGGCGAGCCTGCAGCCGCTGCTCAGCCTCCCAAGCCTCCAAGAGCTGCCAAGGCAAAGGTTAAGAGCGCTGCTCCCACCGGGCCTGTGCCGGGTACACCGGGTCGTGCAACAGAAGTCCCCGGTCTTGACCCTGCGTTATACCGGGCCGCTGTTGAGTCAGGCATTAAGCAGGGGGACCTCGCCGAACTTCAAGGGTTGCTCGCACAACCCAAGCACAGGCTTGCCGACTTCCCTGCCGGAGGCGGAGCTCTGGCTTCAGAAGGTCTCGCTTCGGGTTTGCAAAGCCCTGCGGCTTCATCTGGAGGTGCACTCGATGAGCCTCAGGCTTGCGATGAGATGACAGGGGCCACTCCTGTTGAAGCCGCGGTTCTCAGCCTGACAAAGATAGTGAAGGAGCTGGCAAAGTCGAAGAAAGGACCTGACCAGGGCTCCTCTCTCGAGCGTGCTCTCGACCGTGCCGAAGGTTTCGGTGCTGCTGCTGATTCGTCTGTATCAAGCAGTGGTGGGAGATCCAAGGCTGCAGCTTATCGCATTCTCCGAGAAGCTCTCGCGGCTGAACCTGTACAACTCTACACCAGCATTGAGAGATTGTTGGAGGAAGACCTCCTGCATCGCCGCTTGGGCAGCTCGTTGCAGGACTCTAAGGCAACAAGCCGCGCGTGGCTAGAACATCGCTCGAATTTGGGCATGTACCCGACGACAGTGCGCATGGCTTGGGCTGTCTGCGGAATTTGGGATGCTCTCAGGTCTAACCGCCCTCATGAGGCAAGGGCGCGATGCGCGCTCTGCATCGCTTGCTGTGATCAGCAAGCACTAGACAACGGCCAATGGACACTCGCCGAACAGTTTTCTCTCGAAGCCCCTCCTCCTCTGTCAGCGTTCATGAACCGAAGGAGTCATGCCGCCGAGAGCTCGGATACTTACCATACGCGTTTGATCGAGGCTCGCTGGGCAGAGTTGTGTCTTCATCGCGTCCGTGAGCTGGAGGCGCATCTGGAGGCAAAACGGAAGCTCGGCGGTAAGAACAGGCAGCCTCATGGCGACGCAGGCCAGGATGGACTTCGCGAGAGGCCTGAGAGGCCAAACGGAAAAGGCGGCAAAGGAAATGAAAAGGGCGACAAGTCGGGCCCCTCCGGGGGCCAGCCGAAATGAATCCCTTCAGCATCCGCGGCTTGCGCCTGCTTGCGTGTTGGCTTGCTTGCTTTGTCATGCAACCCCCGGGGGCAGGCGCCTCTACTGCTGTAGCACAGCATGTTTGGGCCTCTTTGGCTTCTTTTCTGCATCACGACACTGCAGTTCACGACATTCTTGCACCACGTTTTTCAACTCCGAGCGGGCCGACCCGCCCTCCTTTTTTCGCTGCCACACTAGCAGAGGCCCGCCCTGCTGGCAACCACGGTGCTTTTGAACTCATCGCTCTAGTGTTTGACTCTCTCGCGGCAGAGCCCTTGCACAGAGTTACTCGAGGCCCCGGTGCTTCGTTTCTGGCCCGTCCGCGTTGCGATGCCCTCCTGTCTGCGGCCGCCCGTGGCTGGGATCGCATTGCTCAATCCGTTTCGTTGTGGGATAGTGCTGAGCCCGTCGATGCATCAGCTATGGGTCGTACGGCTGGCAAAGTCGAGCGGATCGAAGGTCAACTACGTGCCCTCGCCACTGTCAGTCCTAGCACTCCTCGCGCCATGTGTGAAGATTTCAATTTGGCAAAGGACATTGAGGTGAATCGCCTAAGTCTTCCTTCTTCACCTCCCAGCTTCGATCCTTCACCTTTTCTGGATGACACCATGAGGTCGCTTTACCTAAGCCCTTCGCGGCACGCCTGGCCTATCGATGAGGCTGGCGAGGTTCCACCCCGCGTGCAGTGCAGGATCGGCACCAAGCAGGAGAAGCTCGAGTTTCTCTCGGCTTTGGATCAGAGTGGTCGGCTCGAGCTTTTCCCTGCTGACCAGTTCGATGCCAGAACAGCCTGCGGACTGTTCGCCCTTCCGAAAGGGCTGGACACAGACCGCCTGATCGTTGATGCCAGGCCGTCGAACCTGTGTGTTCCGACAGACGTGCGGTGGCTAGCCACCATGGCGTCCGCGTCATCTTTACTTGGTATCGAGCTGGACCAGGATCAGCGGTTGTTCTTGTCCGGGGAAGACATCAAGGACTTTTACCATCAGTTTCGCATCACAGTCGACAGGGCTGCATACTACAGGATTGCGGGGTTTTTTAGGCCTTCTGATTTGAGTCATCTCCGCAGCTTCAAGCCATCCCTGCTGACTTCGAAGCGAGTTGTCGCTGCGCTGCGCTGCATGGCGATGGGTGACTGTAATGCTGTTTCAGTTGGCCAATCATCACACCTCGGGCTGATTTTGGCGGCCGAGCTTGTTGGCTGGCACCAGCTACTGACAATGAGAGGCCCCGTGCCGCGCAGCCCATGCATGCTCGGTCTGGTAATCGACGATGCCATTGTCATAGAGAAGGCACTTAGGTGCCAAACGGGCGACACCGCTTCGCTGAGCAGCCAGCGCTTGATTTCGGGCCTTCACTCCGCTTACCTTGCCTCAAAGCTTCCCCGACATGAGAAGAAGTCCTTCTTTGCGGCTGAGGACGCAAGCTTCTGGGGCTCAGACGTTCTTGGTGAACTTGGACGCGTGCGCCCTGCGTGGGCTCGCCTCATCCCGCTTGTCTCGCTGACAGTCAGTGCTCTGAATCTTCCTCTCTTCACGGTGTCGCTCCTTGAGGTCCTTGCAGGCTCGTGGATTTCGGTTTTGGCTTTCAGGCGTAGGACCCTCTGCCTACTCGAGCGCATCTATCTGCTACAGCGCGGTCGTTGCCGGACCGAGTGTGTGCGCGCCACCCCGGAGCTAAAAGCTGAGCTGTTCAGGTTGTGCGTCCTCGCTCCGCTGCTGCACACCGACCTGCGAGCTCAAACCAGTGGGCTCCTTCTCGCCTCGGATGCTTCTGACTCTCTGGGTGCGTTCGTCACAACCCGTGTTACCAAGGTCTTTGGCCGAGAGCTCCAGCGTCACACCCCGGCTCGAGGCCTGTGGAACAAGCTGCTTTCGCCTGTCAATGCCCTGCTGCGTCAAAAGGGCTACCTAGACCCAAACCTCGAGCTCCCAGGGGAGGTTTTCCGAACCCATCCTCTTTGGACTACTCTCGTTCGGTCTTTGCCTTTTAAGCTCAGGGCGGTGTTCAGAAGGCGCAAGCGTGACCATATCAACATCAAGGAGATGGATTCTTACATTGCTGCTGAGGAATCCCTCGCGCCGTTTGACTGGGAGTCGGCTCGAACCTTGGCTCTGGTCGACTCACAAGTTATTTTGGGCGCCCTTTTGAAAGGCCGCTCCAGTTCTCCTGCTATCAACTCCAGGCTTCGTGCTTCGTTGCCAGGCCTTCTTTTCTTCAATCTTTTTCCTAACTACACATATATCGCTTCAGAAGACAACCCTTCAGACGATCCGACTCGCGGCAGGAGGGTCAGGCAGCCCCAGCTCGCTGAGCCGTCGTGGCTCGTTGAGGCCGAGCTCGGTCGTTTCGCCCAGCTGGATCGTTTTCTGTGGGACTATGGTTTAGATCCTTTGCAGACGCAAGGTTTGGTTGATCTGCAACGTGCCTTCAGCGAGCGTCGGGGTACTCCCGGTGTTGAAGAAGGTGTGCCAAGCGTTGGTGACCTCCCCACACTTGTCAGCTCCGAGCCGCTGGAGTGCTTGGATTTTGGCACTCTCTCCTCTGCTGCTGCTGCTTTTCTACAAGGCTGCCCTCGAAGGCAGTTTCTCTGGCCTAGTGGACTTCAGCCTTCGCTCCGGACCAGGTTTCTTTCACCGGGCTACCTTTGTCTTTACGCAGGCAGCCGGACCGTCGCTAAGGAAACTGTCAAAGCTGGCTTTCCTTGGGCCCTCACCTTTGACTGGCTCCACGGTGCAAACCAGGATCTCCTCTGCCCGAAGTTGCAAGCAGCCCTTCTTGCTGCCATCAGCGCTGGTGCTTTTGCAGCTGTTGGCTTGTCTCCTTCGTGTCCGACCTTCAGCACCGCTGTCACACCGCCTGTCCGCTCAGCTGAGTGGCCGGCGGGTGTGCCTGACCTTTCACCTCACAACTCTGCACGCGTTGCCTGTGACAACGCCCACGCCTCGTTCGTCGGTCGTGTCGTTAGGCTTCTGGTTGAGTTCAGGGTTCCTTTTTGGGTAGAAGGCCCCGAGCGGAGTTGGCTATGGAAGCAGCCTGACTTGCTGGCCCTCGTTACCGAGAGCTCAGATCTGGGCTTCTGGACTTTCGACCACTGCAGCTTTGGCCGACCGTGGCAGAAGAGGACGAGGGTGCTTACTAGCACGGAGCTACGGTGCAAGACTGACCTGTGCACAGGAGGCCACGAACACAAGTCTCTTCGAGGAAGAGTTTCGAAAGGTTCTCTTTCTTGGACAAAGCTCGCCGAGACGCCGCCCTCTCAAGTAGCAGTAGCCCTCGCCATGGCCCTTGCTGCTGCAGCTTCTGACTGTCGATCGGTGAGCAGCTGTGTTAGAGACACGTCCAAGAGGATCGGAGAAGCTAGCCAGCCTGGACCGCCTCAGCTGAAGCAGCCTCGTACCGGTTCCCTCTTTGACGTCGAGCTGGTGACTAAGGCAACGGCTGCTACACGCACACGTGTCTGGGACGCTTTCGTGCAGTGGCTCAGAGAACGCATCTCTGAGAGTGCTGTGATGGCGCTTTTTACGTGCCCTCCTTTGCTAGCTTTGGTACTCCGCGACTATGCCGACGAGCTCTACAGGACGGGTGTCTCGCTGGGGAATTACAGGCAACTGCTTGCGCATGCGCAACGAAGACTCCCACTCCTGAGGCCACACATGAAGCCGGCATGGGAAATGGTGACAAGATGGCAAGAGCTACAGCCTGTGACCCACAGAACTCCACTGCCAGAGATGGTGCTTAAAGCCATGGTGGGCATAGCTTGGATGCTAAAGTGGAGAAGATGGGCAGCTGTCACATTGGCCATCTTCTATGCTATTAACAGGCCTGGCGAACTGTTATCTGCTAGAAGAAGCCAAGTGCTTACTCCCTTGGACCTCCTGGAGCCGGATCACGGCTGGATGTACTTTTGTATAAAAAAGCCGAAGTCTAGAAGGAAAGCTGCCAGGGTGCAGCACTCAAAGTTGTGCCAACCAGGTGTTCTGCAGTTCCTCACTCGCTTCTTCGAGGGTTTGCGCCCACACGAGCTACTTTACCCTGGTAGCCCTGGCGTTTACAGAAGAAGGTGGGACAAGATTCTGGGCATTTTAGGTCTGACTGCTGAGCTTCGGCTCACGCCAGGCTCTCTACGAGCTGGGGGAGCGATTTGTGCGTTCCAACACGGAGCCACAGTATCAGACCTTTTATGGAGGATGAGACTGCGGAGCCAGTCTACACTGGAGTTTTATCTTCAGGAAATGTCAGCAGTATCGATCGTCCCGCACCTCAGCCCAGCAGTTCGCCGACGCATCCTTACTGCTGCCGCTGTCTGCCAGTCAGTTCTGCAATAGCCCAAAGGCCTCCAGTTGCGCGCTTCGCAGCCCTGTGGCGGATAGTGGCCGGTAGCACCTACGGGATGCTCGTGACTTTTGACCAAACCTCGACCAGAGCAGCACCGAAGAAAACGGGGCTCTCTTCAGGAGCGCGTGCATTTCATGACTTTCGCATGAAATGTTGTGCGGATGTGTAGCTTTTCTTGGCCCTCCCACCCTCCCTGGGGGCCGGTAGCACCTACGGGATGCTCGTGACTTTTGACCAAACCTCGACCAGAGCAGCACCGAGGAAAACGGGGCTCTCTTCAGGAGCGCGTGCATTTCATGTTATTCTGTGGGTGTTAGTATGCAATAATCCCTTTTGGGCCCTTCAAAGGATGATACTTCAGGAGTCACAGGCTCTACGTAAACTCTAGCACGTAGAAGGGGCACATGTTTTGAGAGGCTTTCTGTGGACACGGACGGAAGCCCGAAACCCCTCCAGACTAGAACCCTTCCTTTGGCGAAGGCATTGGAGCGACCCAGGACCCCTCAGCCCCAAAAATCTTAAGTCCAGAAAGCCCTGAGCCCTGAACCCTACCCAAACCCAACCCAAACCCGAAACCCCCACGCCCTAAACCCCCACACCCTAAACCCTAAACCCCTAAACCCCTAAACCCTAAACCCCTAAAGCCCTTTGTAAGAACACGAACCACCCAAGGAAGCTCGGGATCCTCAAGGAGCAGTACCAGGCGGTTGAGGCCTCAACGGGAGGGGGGCTCCGGGGATCTGTTTTTCCCTTCGAGCTTTATAATAAAGAATATACTATACTTGTAGTTCTACTATACTATACTATAATATAATAGAATAGTTTAAGGGGGTTGGGGGTGTCTATGTTTGGGCTTCCTAACCCTAAACCCTAGGTTTTGAGCTGCCTAGGCTGTCTCTTCCGTTGGCAGGTGCAAGTTACGTTTGTTGGGGTTGCGGATATTTTCATTCGTCCGCAGGTCATCGAGGTTGCTTCTAGTCTCACCACTTCCCTGGCCAGATTTGGGAATTTAGGGTTTAGGGTTTAGGGTTTAAAGTGCACCCAACTAATGTCTATGGCGTAGTCCGCGGAGGTCTATGAGAACTGGCCCCACTCATGCCAAGATGTGGGTTTTCAAGCCTACCCGAAGAGTCTGTCATACATGTTCAGCTCAGGAGCGGGAGCCCCAAAGCCCGAAGCCGTGGACCCTCTTGAAACTCTAACCAAAACTCCTACGTGCACACTCCCTAGACCTAAGACCCCTGAAGCTCCAAATGTCTAAAGCACGAAAAGGCACACCCCGCCCCTTTGTAGCACCTTGCTTTTTTCACACGCTTTTCCGTTCTCAACTGAACGAAAACCCCTTTCCAGGATGGTCGGTTGCAAGACTTCGCGGGCGTCGTAATCTCGGATCGCCTGAAGGAGCGGTAGAACTCTGGAAAGACCTTGGGATGCTTTGGGGCATTGCCTGGTCTTGAAGGATTTACAAAGCTTTTCACAAGAGTTGGGTTGGTCCGGGGTGTGGGGTTTAAGAGTTTGCGGCTGGAGGTTTTGGGGGTTGCGTTTGGGAAACCCCCGAGGCGTGAGGATCAAGCTGGAGAGTTATAATGGGTGCCTGTAGGATGTCATGTGATTTTGTTAGAGGCCTCCTGGGTTTCTGCCATGAAGCACCAATCGCTACAGCCAAAGCCCCAAGCCTCTAAATTCAGCCTGTGGGCAGGAGTCCTGACATGACTCAGCCATCGGGAACCCCGGGCCCCACAAGCGGGCGTGGTGGCAAAAGATCGCGCCTGTTGCTGTCTGGGACGGTGTGCAGTTGTCAAGTAGAGTTGGGTGTTGAGTCAAGTTACAAACATAGAAAACCCTAAACCCTAAACTCGGGTTGAGGGTTTCTGAGGGGTCGTGTTCCAGTCAATCTTCCTGTATAACTTGTACATAACTCCACGGTGGAACTTCAGACCAGGAAGCCAAAAAGCCCTAGAATTCTCAACGCCGCTACTACCAAAAAAGGACAGCCGAAGCCCTCGAAGCCCTTAGCAATGCCCGAAGACTCTCAAGACTGCCCCAAGCCTGCATGCTCACTCAGTATCATGCAGCCTTTGCTCAGGAGTTCTAAGCGAACTTTCAAGAGGCATCTGCGTACATCGAGTGAAGAGCATGGGCTGGGGAACCTCCCTCGCAGCCGAGCGGCCCAATCCTTAAAGCTGGGTCCCAAGGTCCCAAACCTTAAAGCCGAATCCCTCAACCCTAAACCCTGAACCCGAAGCCCAAAGTTCGGATCAGGCCAGAGATTGAAGCTCGGCATTCTAGATCCGACCCCGCGTAAAGACCAAGCCTAAAGCTTAAACCCCGAGTGCTCAGCATGACACCTTGAGTTGCAAGCAACCTCAAAGCATGAAGCACGCTGAAATCTAAAACAAACCCCAAGCTTTTGCACCCAGAACCCTCAGTATTCACACCATAAGCCCCAGCCCCACTACAGACCTAAACCGACACCGGCGGACACGCTTCGTGGAGCCTCGGCGGCCATGATAGGGCCGAGCGCACCCGGCATTGGTCCCGAGGGCCCTCCAAGCAAGTTGATGCCTCAGGGTTAGGGTTTACTGTTTAGGGTTCAGGGTTTACTGTTTAGGGTTTACTATTTAGGGTTAGGGTTCAGGGTTTTGGGTCTAGGGCTTAGGCTTTAGGGTGTAGGGGCAGTGGCTCTGACAGGCGGAGGTGACTGTTTCCTGATTGCTTCGAAGGATCAGGAGAGTTAACCTTAGAGTATGCCTCACGGGCTTCGACAGTGGGATGGGTCCGTCTTTGCTTTAATTTTGACGGTTCAGGTGAATGGGTTATTCAGGTACTCGTGAGTGCGCTGAGTCTTTCCTGTTGGAGTCCGGGGCTGGGGCGTTTGGGCAGAGACGGAGGTTTGATAAGCTGTTCCCCGATTTTTCTTCGAAGATGTTGCATGGGCTTGCTACGGTAGGCTTCCAGATAGCTTGTCTTGATGTGGTGGTTTTTGTGGGACTGGCTGGATCTCGGAGGAAGCGATCAGAAACCCTACTTTCAATGTCCCAATCCTCATCCCGGAACCCCTGAGCTCCAGGGTCGATCACCAGATGGCAGCTGATATGCAAGATGGCCTCGTCTCCTTAAGGACCCCTGTGCAGGAATCGCAGTCGAGGAGAGAGTTACGAATGACGTTAGGGTTTCTACCTTGTATCTCAGGTCGCGGAAAGTTGGTCCAGTGGCCGGCGCCTCAGTGCGGAGCAGACCTACCAGGATTTTTTTTGCGCTCCGGGTTTCCTGAAAGAATGGGAGGTTTTAGGCCACGAAGAGTGTTGGCTAAAGAGGACTTTGGGTGCTAAGACCTCAGCCTTTCCGATTCCTGGCCAAGCCGGAACTTCGTTCAAACTCGTCCCAGGGCCCTGAGCCACAAGCGGAGGGGTCAAAGACGCCGGGGAGCCGAGAGGTGGTCTTGCGACGACGGTGTAAGGGATCGGTGCTTCACGGTTGCCAGTAATCCAATAATGCCTGGTTGTCGGGGAGCTCATGGGTTTCGGATAGAGGTGTTGTGGTGTTTTGAGCGAATTGAAGGCCAAGTTGCGAGGTCTTAACACCAATCTTTCAAGCACCTGCCCTCTCCCAAACAAGCACAAACCCCAAAGAGCTTCCTGTGAGTGCGTTCCTGCGCCGGGCCTTGCATGTCCTAAACCATACCCGGAAAGCGCTAAACCCCGGAAAGCTCTATATGCGCACTTTGGGTAGGAAACATTGGCCCCGCCCTTGCCAGAAGATTGGACCGGCTTCGGAGGTATAGTTCCCGGGTTGAAGACTTGGCTTTGTGGGTTTTGGTGTGGCGATCTTAGGCCTCGAAGTAGCGCCAAAGCGCATGAGGCACAATCGGGGCCTCGTTCTGGGCGATGCCCGGCCCACAGCATTTTGCAGAGGGAGAGGGAGGGAGAGAGAGAGAGGGAGAGAGAGAGAGGGAGCGAGCTCAATGTGGAGATGTTACGTCGGGAGGATGTTTGGCTTTGGGCCTTCGGGTCTTTCGGGCTTAGGACGCATCAGAGTCAGAGCGAGTGGGTTTTCAGAGTTTAAGATTTAACAGATTTGCGTCTCAGAGTTTGCTCCTTCGGTGCCGGAGGGTTTCCAGGCTTCCTAGGTCGTAGTATTCCGTGAACCTCGGACCCGAACTTCTTCTGGCTAAGAGAAGGAGAGACGACGATGAGATTCACTCTTCCGCCTCCGGTTTTTCCATGATCCCAGGTACCCGGAGCCCTAAACCCTAAGCCCTAAACGGCCCTAAACCCTAAACCCAAGACAGCCCGCGGCTCCAAACCCAGAAAACCTGGCCGAGGCTGGTTCCCTGCGCCGGACTCAAATCGGACCTTCTCCACGTCCCGCATCACAGCCGGGCATCGCCAGGGCCTTGGGAGCCTCTCCGGCCCAGCGATCTCACTTAGTCTCTGCGGCCCTGAAAAGTCTCAAACTGTGTGCGCTTTTGGGTTTCAATTTTGTGTTTGATGCTGTCCGTGTAGGGCCTCAAGGTTTCGGGTTGAGGCTTGAGGTGTCAGCTTTAGGCTTGGGGTGTGAGGGCTATTTCCGGGTAGTTTCGGAAGCCCGACGTTTGTGGCTGGGGGTTTAGAGCTCAGGGTTCACAAAAAAGCCACACAGCATCAACAAGGTCACAGGCAGCGTGCCACTCCGTTCTCGGAGCTTCTCCCTAGACCCTAAGCCCCTAAACCCTAAACCCCTAAACCCTAAATCTTAAACCCTAAACCCTAAACCCTGTCATCCGAAGTGGCCGGAGCCCTTCTCAGACTTAGGCAGCAAACTGGGAGAAGCCAGCCAGACAGAATCACCGAAACAGCTGTCTTTCTAGAAAAGACTTAGTCGCACATCACTGTTGTGATGCTGGTTTTGGTGTGCTTACAGCTTCCATTCCACCGAAGCACAACTCGAGCCCGAGGCTTTCACCGAGGCAGGGGGTGGCTTGGCGATGCGGGATCAAAGTTAAGCTCCT